GAGAGAGAGAGAGAGGAGCAGGTTAGTCTCCAACCACGCAATTGGCCTCACGCGACTTCCATCGGTTGGATGAGCAAAATCGAATGAATCTTCCGTTAGACATGGAAATATACACTGCCACACTTTTTTTTTTTGAAGAACCAAATCCCCCACCCGTAGTCCGCCATGCGCGCATAAGGATGGGCGGGTCGCGTTCAAAAAATTCCCTCCACATGGGGTGTAGCGCGTTTGAATGCGTTTGAACACGACCCCACCTGTTTGAACGCACGCGTGTGAACGTGTACTCGCGTTCATAGAGTGAGTGTGTGTGTGCTCTCACTTTCTGTTTCTCTCTCCTCTCCTTCCTTTCTCTCTCTCTTTCTCTCCTCTGCCTCCCGCATGTTACACTGACAGCGAGTGACGCGCGCGAGCGATCTAGCGAAGGTAGTCATTTCCTCTTCCAGTGTGTGGAAAGCTATAAGGACATGGTCCTCCTGCGGGATATCTTGCAAGTGCAGGTAGGACTTAACGTTAGCTTCCCAGTTATCGAAATCTTCACCCTTCTTTCCACTAAAGGGTTCAGGAAATCTAACCTTTACATGCTCACGACGCTGTCGCTGCTCTTCCTCCTTGGGAATAGCAATCTTAGCGCCTTTGATGGCGCCAGTGCAGAATTTATGTGTCCCCTCCATTGTTGTATGCAGTTCCGTGCCTATGTGCAACATCATCTTCTGCGCAAAGTCCTTAAGAGCCTAAACGGATGGACTCAATGGCAAGATCATTTCCCTTAATATGCATGACCTGATCCTGTTGGGCTTTCAGCACGACAGTCATGGTCTGGGTTAGTGTATCTAGCTTTTGGTTAATGTCGGCTCCTTCAGGCAGCTTGCCCATACTCTCCTCTGCAATCCTCAACTCCCTTTCTGCCTTCTCCGCCACTTGCAACCTCCTTGTCTTTTCCCTCGCATAGCTTCCACTCCAGCATCTTTTTCTGCTCTGACGCCTTCCTCTGCAAGGGACTCTCCTCCGCTTCCAGCTCTCTGTGCATCGCTTCCTTCTTCGCTTGGGAACTAGCAATTTTGCCTCCTGTTCTTCCCCTATTTCCAATCTGGATGCCCATTCTCCAATCATTCTCCCCACTTCTTCTTTCGCAGTTGAGGTGCTGCTAGACTCCCCCTTTTCTTTTGTGACCCCTCTTGCCATTCTTTTTAACGGGGTCTCTGACGCTACTTTTCTTCTTCGTCTTCTTCTTCTTTCTCGACAGCTGCTTTCTTCTCCTCTTGCTCCTTCAGCAACGGCTTCATCTCCTCCTCCAACTCCATCTTCTTCGCCGCCTGGTCCTCATATAGGGCCAATTTCTTGGCCTCTTTTTGCAACGCCTTCTTCTCTTTCTCTTTCTATTCACGCAATATGGCGGCGACTCTCTCCTCTTGCTTTGCAGTGTACAGGGTAGTCTGTCGCCCAGATCTAGTGGTAGCGGCCAAACTAACAGTGCGGCAGAAACCCATGAGCAAGGCGTACATGGGGTAGTCGTGCATGGTGAAAGATGCACAATTGACTGATAGTTCCACTCCTCACCACGTAGACTTACCCAGCACCGATTCTAATCTACACTACTCTAAGGCTGTCACTACAGGACTCTTTTGCTGATCTGGAGGCATTTAAGGAGATCCGCCAAACTCCTTAGGAATTATTTAACGTCGCAAACAAGACGGCGTGATCAGCAGAGCCCTCTCAAGACTTAGACAGCCGGATGGGCAGCCTACGGCTCCGAGTTCTGTCCTACCATGCCACACTGAGCAACCTGCCGGTCTGTACCGGTCCTTGGTCGTCAGTCGTCAGACGTAGCTTTAGCCCTACTAAGTCCCGTGTAAGTTTGGTCACCACAACTTTTTGACCACATACACAAAAACTATCACCTGGACAGAAGTGACTCAATGCAGAAAAAAGAGACAGACAGACGCGTAAGCAAGTCCCAAGGTTGTGTGCACATCCATCGGGCAAGGGAATGGGCCAAGGCTTGGAAGGATTATACCGCGCTCCAGCTTGGTCAACAGT